CTAAAAAAATGTTATTATTTAACTGATACAAAGTTATCTCTTCTAGATTATGCACAAATTTCCAGATTTCCTGATAATTATTTTAAATTTCTAGTCGTACTAGTCACTGGACTTAAAATTACGTTTTGTGAACTAATAAATTTTGCATACTTTCTTCTTATTCCAAGAATTTGCCAGCACTTAGGTTACGATTGTAATGTTTATATTGTGCTTATTTACACTGTTTAGATCTACATTTTCACTTTTTTTATACATTATTATCTGAAATGAAATTTTTGATCATTTATGCATTTTTATGGAATTCAGCTATGTAAATTTGCATACTGAATTTATGAAATAATGAAACTCATCATAAAGCAATATTTATTTGGGGTTTCTAGTGTTACAATGAAGGGTACTTCAGAGTAATACAAGAATATCTTAGTACCTCTTTGATACTCAAAATATGAGTACATGACAAAATAAGTAGCTCGTAGTAGAACAAAAATCATCAAGGAACCAACAAAGAAAAAGAAATGCCTGTCTCATCAGTAATTTTGCTAAGAATAAAAAATGACACTTGAGCTACAACAGTAAAGGGCTTTTGAGGTAGATGTATATCTGACATAGATTCCTATTCTCCTGAGAGGACTGTTACTTGTGATTTTACTTGGAGGAGCCAGTCTGCACATAAACTTATTAGAAATGTCTAAAATATTTCAAGTAGTAACCTTGTACCTCTATAGTTTTATGAATAAAATATTTAGTATTCATTTTTTCTTTAAGTAACAGTGTACTATAACATATATTTCAGATCACATCACTAAAAATTAACACAAATGCATACATATATATGTATGCATTTGTGTTAATTTTATATATGTGCTCACCACTAAAGGTCCAATCACTGTAATGGAAATATGGGTATAAAAAGGAACCCACATCTGCATTCACAGCTGGTAGGAATGTGGATCGATTCATTGGAAAACAACATGAATATTTGTAAAAATAATAATAATAACTAAGTATTGAACTTCCATGTGATCTAGCAGTTCCATTTCTTTAAATCTTCCTGAAGAGTCCAAAAAATATATCTAAAGATATCTGTGCTCCTATGTTAACTGGAACACTATTATTCACAGTACCTAAAATCTAGAAACAACCTAAGTGTCCATAAACAGGTGATTGGGCAAAGAAACTATGGTGTACTTATATGTAATGGAATACTACATGTCTATATGGAAAAACAATCATGTGATTTGCCACAACATGGATGGAACTGCAGAGTTTAATTCCTAATGAAATCATTTAGGGTAGAGACAGGTGCATGATGAGCTTTCTTATATGTGCAATATAAAAACATGGGAATTGGAAGTCAAAAGTAAGGGAATAACAAATGGCCAAAGTCAAGGGAACTTAAGGACTGATCTACAAGACTGAGTTTATTGTGATAGCGTGAGATGTTGGGGTGGTTCCAGGAGTTGTGGGGGTAGGATCGAAAAGAGGAATACTTCAAGTGTAAGGGGGAACCTTGAAGAATCTGACTTTTCTGAAATATACGTTGTTCTTCAAGCATTTGTATTTGATACCAGTCCATTTGTTCATTCAGATCAGTACATAAATGTACCATTTTTTAGTGTTATTTTAAATCTAAAGCCTCATTTACAATTGCAAGTTTTATAGTTAACTGTTTACTAATTTTTAAATCTCTAATAAGACTTTTCTGTTTTCCTAAATTTGCCGTTTAATTCATTAGTTAAAAAAAGAGTGTCAGTCATTTTTTTGAATCCTTATCACTTTGTTTGCCTATAATTTCCAACTCAGGGAATTTATTATTATTGGTAACTGTTTATTAACCTCACATCATTTATAATTAAAATGCATTTTAATACACTTTGATATTTTCATGGTACTTTGTTGAGTATTAGATATATATAGCATTTATATACATATATCTTTCAAAATGATATTCAGAATATAGCTAACTGAATATTATGGTCTAAGATCTAAGTGTATTCTTAATGAAACTGTATAATTGTAGCTGATTTAATAAGTAAAATGTATTAACCACAAATGTGATTGTTACTGAAAATGAGACTACCCAGGTTGGAGCAATAGAATGGTGGTATGGCATTTTCCTTGAATGCTTTAGATCCAGGTTCAGGGCCTAATCCCCAGTTTCATCTATGATCTCCCCAGCCCATCCGGAGTTATCTCTGATTGCAGAGTCATAAGTAAACCCTGAATGCAGCCTGATATGCTCTTATAAAAACAAACAAACAAAAAAAAGACAAAACAAAATGAAAAAGAGAATTTACATCATTTCGATTTTACTCTTCTATATGACCTTAGATAAAAATAATGACAGAATCTGACAAGCTTAGAGATCTTTTCTTTCATAAACTATACATTGTGAGCTGGCTGTCCTTTACTGTTAAGATACTAAACACTACGAAAACTATTTTCCGTATTCTTGTACCAAAATTTTGCATTTGAAATGTTGCATATGACATATTCTCCTGTCATGAAATTTATCTATTCTCAAGGGCCCTGTGCTAGTATTTTTATTTCTGACCCTCTGAACTGTATGACTTGATAAAGTATCATCAAGGGGGAAGGAAGGAAGGAAGGAAGGAAGGAAGGAAGGAAGGAAGGAAGGAAGGAAGGAAGGAAGGAAGGAAGGAAGGAAATGTGAGGGAGAGAGGAGAAAAGAAAATAAAGGATATGCATAGTAAATAAAAACTGGTCATTTAAGGAAGACAAAGAGAGAAAGAAGATAGAGAAAAACAAAGGAAGTGCAAACTAAATAAGGACTAGTCAATCAGATACATGATTTCTTGTGCAAATAGGAGAAAATACCATGTAGGTTACTGCACTGCTATAGTTTCAAAATACTTTATAATTCAAATGTATTTTAGGATTTTTACTTACCCCTTGTTATAGTTTATTTAACAAAATCTTCCAGGATGAAATATAGTTTTTGAGTATAGCTTGAAGGGCTTCTTATACTTCGATCTCCCTACAACATACCAGAAAATAATGAAGTAGTAACATATTTTTGTTGTGATTTAGGTGAAATGGTTTTAATAATGTTAATATAGGTGGGTTTGGTGTACAAAATTACTGCAATTCAGCACCACCAAAGTGCCCAAAACACTCTGGCACCATCTTAGTACTAAGTTCTAAAATCAAAGGTAAACCACGTGTTACCATTTTATAATAGAAGCTAAGTGAAGTGTTTTATACTTTGATAATCATTAAGTTATGTATGCTATTTGAAGGAAACCCAGAGATTAGAACCTACTAGCTCTTTTCCATCCAGCTAACCTACTTCCAAATGGCACATATTGTGTTGTAAACACTGAGAGTACAGCCTATTGAGGCTAATTCATGTATTGATTATTGCAATTTTTCTCACCTCTGCTATATTTGTTTTAGTTTTGCAAAGTGTTACTAATTTCTTGAACTAAAGAATTTTTCTGAGTGGCTGTGAATAAATTGCACTGTTAAAGATTATTTACTACTAAGAAGACTCGTTCCTTTTAAGAGTGTTTCTTCCAAGGCTGTGGGTTGAGAAAGTAGACTCCAGAACATCACAGTTGGGTTAGATTTGCTCAGCATGTTCTGGTTGAAAAGACAAATCACTTTAGAAACAAAGTTTTTCTTCACTTCATGTATTCAGCTTTTAAAAGTCATGGCAAGAATAAAATTCCTTATTAGAAATTTGCTTCATTGGAGCCATATCAGGGACATATTTAGTTTGTAAACACAGTCTGTTGAGTTGCATCCCCTAAAAGGAAAGTTGTTCCACCTAATCTGTCCTATTTATGCTTTTGTTAGTAATCTGAGGAAAATGGGAATAATGTATCTTCCGTGTTCTTCCTTTAAATTCTCAGCCCAGAAAGCAGTGAAAAATGTTTTTTTCCTAGACATTGATATAAGAAATATTAAGAAATAGAAGAAACAAAATAAAGCCAAAGGGATAAACATTAGAAGCTTGCTTAAACAGTTTTGGCCTCGTATAATTGCTTTTCTGTCAGCAGAATTATTAACAATTTTGGACATCTGAAAATTAAATTAAGAGCCTGAAAATATTTTACAGAATGAGATAGAGCGTGATACATGAAACATAATGACCCCACTGAATTTCAGCCAAGCCAGTGCAGCTACTCATTTAGTCAGAGAAGACAACTAGTTAATCATCAACAAGCAAATTAGACAGAGCAAATTAGTTTGCTACATTCCACAGTCCTAGCTACCAAAAAGAGTATATGCCACTAATTAGAATGAAAGAACTCTAAGCATATTATTATCTAGATTGAAAGAGAAAGCAAAATTGTAGCTTGCATTGCTTCTATCAAAGCTTGAAGCCTAGGTTACGTAGATATAATTTACATGTGTAAGAATCTGTATATGTATGGTGTTCACACATATCTAAGTAGCAGCCACTTTAGAAGTTTATTACAGCTTTTACCTAATATTAAAAATCTTTGATTATTCAGAATTCTTTAGGAGATTATGCATGTGATTACACACACACACACACACACACAAACTCAAAACTTGTAAAAAGCTCTTTCTTTCATTGAAGATTAAAGTAGCCACTTCACATATCTCTTCTTGCACACTATTAAATTATTTTTAAGTGTATTGCCATTGCATCTGAAATAAATATTTGGACTTAGTTTATCACTGGAGATTAATCTGAAATCATATTTTGTAACCTTAATTAGCATTCATTTGCTTAATTGTCATTCTCAGCCCCATCGTTTCCATTTTTCACTAACTTGAACAATGCTATCTTCTGCTGTTTGCACTTTAATTTAAATTTCTATTAAGGTTTATGAACAGTAATAAGGTCCTGTTTGAATATTCATTAGCTTCTAAATTGTGAGCTATGAAAAGGTGCTTTCTTTTACCTTAATGAAACTGGCACAGCATGGGACTGATCAGTTGTGACATTTGATTTGAGGCATCCACTGAATTTTCTCATTGTTTATTGACACATCTTGTCCAAACAGCTCCCTCGCAAGTGAGCGGAGTAATGAAGGAGAGAGTGCTGCAGAGGAGTGTGGAGCTTTCCTGGCAGGAACCAGAACATCCCAATGGAGTCATCACCGAATATGAAATCAAGTATTACGAGAAAGTAAGTGCTAAGAACAGCTGAAATGTACAATGATGTGCCTTATGCCTCATGTCATCGACAACACTATACACTAAATTGGTCATAATGCCAACTATTTGGAGAGACTTCAAATTCCGTATTTCCTTTCAGTAATTTTAATAACCATTTCCCCAAACCTCTGGTTCTTACAACTGTGATTTCCTCATGGTAAAGTACTCTGCTTTTACACAAATTAAAATACTTCTCTAGTAGTACATTTATTTATTCACTTTTTGATGTGATCATAATTAGATGTAGGATATGTTTAGTATGACAGAAACTATCGAGGCTAACAAATTCTTTAAAAGTGTTCCCTTCAGTATGTTTTATTGGGTTCTTAATTATTTATTGAATTTGTATAGTTTCAATAATAATGATGGTGGCTTTAAAAATGTTAGTACTTTGAAACATGGGGATATTTTCTGTTTAAATATGTTTTATTCTCTTGACTTAAGATCTGCTGATGATCTTTTCATTTAAATTTCTAATCAGACGTGTTTCATATTAGTGGACCTAGTTATTGCGATCACTTTTTTTGTACTTCTCTCTCCTGGAAAACTAGTCTGGCATTCTGGAGAGTTAGTACACCAGGTAAGGCACTTGCCTTGCATGCTGCCAACCAGGTTGGTTGCATGCAGCCAACCAGGTTAACCACACTACAAATGAGCCCTATCAGGAATGATTCCTACATGCAGAGCTAAAAGTAAACCCTGAGCATTGCTGAGTATGGTTCAGCAATATGAAACAGTGTGACTAGAGACTCAAGTGCTTACCCTTTAACTTTCTTTAAATGCTTGTATTTCAGTAAATAGTGATATAGTCAAATGTGTCTTTGCATTTATTTCTATACTAACTGGAGGAGTAAGAACAGATAGAGAGCCTTTTCACAAATCATTATTTAAGCTTCGCCTCAGAAAAGGACCTCGCTCAGGGATGAAATGTGGATACTATAACTATTACTAATGATAATTGTAGTGAGAGTATTATTGTTACTGAACAATCAAATTACTGCAGTGTTATATATGTATATAAATCCCAGTTACATCAAACACATATTTTAATCACTTAGAATTTTAAAACTGCAGTTAGATCTTGGAAAAAATATTGATTTAATTGTTTCAATATAATTTTAATGTGTATAGTATATTGGAAATATAACTATTTTTCCAGCTTGAAGAAAAATAGTTTAAGAATTGTTTCAAATTTTAAACTGACTTTAAAATATTCTTGTCTATTATTTTAATATCAAGTCATGGTTTGCATGGCCAAAATTACATGTTTTTAATACCTTGGTTTTGTCCCAGGTTATGATCCTATCAAATGTGTTTCTGTGAGAATTCTTATTTTTAATGATAATTTAGTTATATCTGATTTTCCCTGAACTCTGAATCTTGTCCTTCTGAAATTTTCAAAGCAATGACATACATTTCTAAAGTTAATTAAGGTGTAAGTAAGAGAAAAGCTATTCACAGTGCAAGGGAATATATTTGGGCATGGGGGTAAACCCAGTTTTACTCAGAACTTACTCCCAGTGGTGATCAGAGGAAAATATGCAGTGCCAGGGATCAAACCAAAGTTGTGCAAATGCAAAGCAAGTGTCTTAAGCTTGTACTGTCTTTTTGTCCCTTACTCTGAAACAAATTTGTTCAAGAATTGCTTTTCTATTTTGGATGTAGACACAAAATTTTACACAATCGTAAAATTAACAAATTAGGAAACTATTGGAAAAATAACCTTAACTTATATTATATATATATATATATTCTAAGAATATATGTACAAGTTCTTAAATACAGTCACAGTCACGGTCACGGTCCTCCCGTTGTTCATCGATTTGCTCAAGCGGGCCCAGTAATGTCTCCATCGTGAGACTTCTTGTTACTGTGTTTGGCATATCAAATACGTCACGGGGAGCTTGCCCAGCTACGCCCTACCGCTGTGCTATCGCTCCAGCCTTTAAATACAGTAAAGTATAAAAGTAAGTAAAGTAAAGTAAAGGCCCTCCCATTGTTCATCGGTTGGCTCGAGTGGGCCCAGTAACGTCTCCATTGGAGATTTTGTTGTTACTGTGTTTGGCATATCAAATACGTCACGGGGAGCATGCCAGGCCTTGCCATGCGGGCGAGATACTCTCGGTAGCTTGCCGGGCTCTCCAAGAGGGGCGGAGGAATCGAACTCGGGTCGGCCATGTTAGCTGCGTGCAAGGCAAACGCCCTACCGCTGTGCTATCACTCCAAGTATATATAACTATATATCACTATATAATTGTAAATTCTATAGGATAATTTCTAAAACATGATCTTATATCTCACATAACATCAGATATATCTACCGTTGTTGAGGTATTTATATATTTAAAATGCCATCTTTTATATAAATGTAATGAAACATTCACATATCAATATAATCAAATCAAAAGTACATGTTTACTTACTGTTGCAAATCTTAGTGTAAAGGCAAACCAAACAACCAGACATTTTCAAGTTTCAGTAGTTTTTCAGTTTGTTCAGTGGGCGAGGCCAGGCACGATTAAGCACGGGTGTTTTTTATAGAACAAATAATAAACTCTAAAATTACATATTTTGATAACTATTTTATACGTTTTTATATATAGTTCATCATTAAAAAGTTAAGCTTTAAAATTTTGCTAATTCAATTTTTTTTGAGATTTCAAATTCTTAAATGTTTGTTTAGTTCATATTATATAATAAGATAGTCACATTCTTTTTGTTTGGGGCCACACCTAGTGGTGCTCAGGGCTTATTCCTGGCTTTGTTGCTCAGAGATCTAAGGGATCCCTCTTAGCAGGACGTAGGAGTGCTGATGATCAAACCTGAGTCAGTAGAATGCAAGGCAAGGCCTTGCTCACTGTACTATTTCTTTGGCTCTGGTAAATATTTTTTTTTAACTCTGTGAATTCAGTTTTCATATTTGAAGAAATAAGGAATGAGTGGTGCTTAAAATATTGTCAAACTATAAAATGTATGAGATTTTTTATCAACTTTTAAATTAAAATAGACTGAATTCTTTTCTAAAAATGGTTTTATTTTGTGAGAAAGCATTTTTTTTGTTTGGTTTGGTTTTTGAGTCACATCTAGCAGTGTTTAGGCCTTACTCCTGCCTTCATGCTTAGGATCACTCCTGGGAGGCTTGAGGACCTTATAGAGTGGTCAGGATCAAACCCATGTCAGCCACATGCAAGGCAAATGTGCCTTAGACTGAAGAGTACTATTTTAATGCAGATTGATAGATCACTGTGTAATTAAGCTAGCAAAATTTCTTAATTAAATGACTGTTCAATTTTAGCATATAGCACCACTTGCTTAATAACACTGAGGAAGAGATGTTAATTTCACATATTATGTGAAAAACTTTTGTAAACCAGATATTTTACAGATATACCACAATCTTTAATCTGTAGGATCTTTTATTATGTTTATGGCTAAATAGTTCTTGCCACTCTGCCCTCTTCTAACAAAGCAAAACTCAGATCATAAATGTTTTAGCAGTATGATTCTTACTGAAATTTGTAGAAAAATAGCATGTGTTCAAATTTACATTTTTTATTCTTTTAGAAACTATTCACTGTTATGAGATCCCGTGAGGTACAGTTCAACCTTTATAAAATAATGCAGTAAATGGAAATATAAATTGCAGGAATTGACTGTTGAACTGCCTTGTTGCAGTCGCAATTAAAATTCCCTATATATTTGTTTTCAGGATCAAAGGGAACGGACCTATTCGACAGTAAAAACCAAGTCTACTTCAGCCTCCATTAATAATCTGAAACCAGGAACAGTGTATGTTTTCCAGATTCGTGCATTTACAGCTGCTGGCTATGGAAATTACAGTCCCAGACTTGATGTTGCAACACTAGAGGAAGCTACAGGTAAAATGTTTGAAGGTAATTACCACCTTTGGTTTGAATTCTTTATTTTTCTAACTCTGGCATTTTTTTCAATATTTATGGAAATGAATTGTTTACAGATAATTTTACATGTGAACGTCAATATAGAAGTATGGACAACCCTTAGCAAAAGTTGGTCAAATACACATTTTACATCTGTAGATTTGTTATGCAATGTTAGAAACTCACGCTTTAAAGTCATCTCTTTAATATGCACTAGGTTTCCTTTGAAAAAGTCAAGTTAGAAAAGAGGCAGAACCCATTTCTTTTTAAATTCATGGGGCCTGGGTGCTAGTTTAGCTGGTAGTGTATTTGTCTTGCATGTAGCCAACCTGGGTTCAATCCCCTGCATCCCTGAGCACCGCAGGAGTAATTCCTGAGTGTAGAGCCAGAAGTAACCCATGAACATCATCAGGTGTGACCCCAAAAGGCAAATAATAATAATGATAATAATAATAAAAAATAGAGACTGACAGTGTCTGCATTAAGCCCCCACCCTCCACCCTCTTACTACTGGTGGTGCATTCAGTGATCACATGGGGTGTCCAGGAGCTAATCCAGATCAGCTGCCCGCAAGGCGAATGCTTTACCCTCTGTACTATATCTCTGACCCATGTTGAAGAGCTTAAACAATTTAGAAACACTAGTTATCTCACATCTACTCAGACATAATTTGGCAGGTAAATACTTAGATTTGAGAACTTTCGAAGTGAATTTGTGTGTTTTTGTGACATGTGAAAGTGAAAATATTAGGTCAAATTATTATTTATTGAATGCTGAGACATGCAGAGTTTAATTATTTAAAAATCAAGTGTCATAGACAAAAAAATTAAGATAAAGTAGTGGCATACGCGGCCGCGCGACATCTTATCAGAACATCTGGACAAACTTGCAGGCTATCGAATATAGCCTGCCCACAGGGCAGAGTCTGGCAAACTCCCCATGGCGCACCAAATATGCCAAATACCAGTAACAATGATGGGTCTCATTCTCCTAAAAAGCCTTGAATATAATCTCAGGGCTAGGATGAAAGAGACGTTACTGGGGCCTGCTCGAGGCAATCGACGATTAACAGGATGATGAATGAATGAAAAAAAGTAGTGGCACCTTGAATGATCACATGCAATGCATGTTGGAACTGATTTTTCTGCTTGAAAGTATTTGGTGATTACCCAAGAATGGCTGAGATTAGTACCAGGAATTTTACTCTATGACTTGGAGGCCAACCACACATACTAGGGGAAAAGGGAGCTCAGATAAAAAAGGGAAAACCAAATAAAGGTGTTGGGAGGATCCTCCCAGGATGGGAGAAGCATGCTGAAAGTAGACTATAGACCAAACATGATTGCCACTCAATGTTTCTTTTGCAAACCACAACACCCAAAAGGAGAGAGAGAACAGAGGGAAATTCCCTGCCACAGAGACAGGGTGGGATGAGGGGAATGGGAGGGTGGAAGGGATACTGAGATCCGTGGTGGTGGGAAATGGGCACTGGTGGAGGGATGGGTATATGATCATTGTATAATTGAAACCCAAGCACAAAAATGTGTAAGTCTGCAACTGTACCTCATGATGTCTCACTATTAAAAAATTTTAAAAAAGAAAGTATTTGGTGATTAGAGTACTCAGATTATTTTTTTCAATGAAATGTAAAGTCAGTGAAAGACTAGTCCATATTTCCTTTTCTTACTTCTGTCTTGCCAATTCCAATTGCAGTGCTTTATAAAAGGAATGTATTTGATAATTGAAAAAGGTATAAATACCCTAACAGTCTCCAACATGTAAGAAAAATGACAATATCAACCAGTTCCCATAAGTCATATTCTTAGATTTAAATCTCAGCTCTGCCATATGCAATTTAGGATTGCGGATGAGCTGATTCTCTGTATCTTAACTGCTAGGATAACAGTACCAGAGTCACAGGCTGTTATAAGTTTTAGATAAATTCATGTACACCATGTTCCTATTTTAGTGCCAGGTGTACAGAAAGTCTCAAGTGCCAGTTTTTATTGCTCAGCACAGTCTTTTGTCTCAGAAATCCTTGAAGGTATTAAAATATTGACAATCCCCAAAGAGATTGTGTTTATTTGAATTACATTCAATATTTATCATATTATAAAATTTTAACACAAAAAACATATTTCATTAGTCTTTATTGATAACATTATTGGACAAGTAACCTGAAAAAGTCAGCTGTGCATTTGTGAGTATATGAGAATGAAAAGGCAAATGCAGTCATGTTATATGGAATTAGTTTTGATCTTTTAGAGTCCTTGTAAAGCTCTGAAGTAATCCACAAGCTTTCCCTGATCACCCTTTAATAACTCCGGACATAGCATAAGGTGCTATGCTAAGAGTCAGTGATGCATAGATACACATGACAAAGTTGCTGCTTTCAGTTTTAAATATAGTGAGAGAAATTGGAACACAAATTGTTTCTATACATAGAAATATTAGAATAATACATAGTTCAATGATATTTTAGTTTCAGGAATAGTGAATTCACTGTGCTAGGAAGCAGGACAAAAGGGAAGATAACATCAAAATCATTTTAGCATTATTGGAATATAGAACTTTAATGGATTATCTCTTGCATATGCATCACTATATCTCTTCTTAATTCTGAGTGAACCCTACTGCTTTAAAATCCTGAAACTGGGGCTGGAGTGATAGTACAGCGGGTAGGGTGTTTGCCTTGCATATGGCCAACCCGGGTTTGATTCCCAACATCCCATATGGTCCCCTGAGCTACCGCCAGGAGTAATTCCTGAGTGCAGAGCCAGGAGTAACCCTTGTGCATCGCCAGGTGTGACCCAAAAAGCCAAAAAAATAAATACATAAAATAAAATAAAATCCTGAAACTATAGCATATGGTTATATTAAAAATTACTTTTTCAATGGATTACTCCTGAAGATGATGAAAATATTACACATAAAGTTTGACTATTGAAATTTTAGGAGGTGATCTTCACTATAAAATGTATAAATAAATATTTATACATTCAATTTAATCATTCACTGAAGTTCACTTATTCTTTGTAGTTCTATTTCTGAATCTAGGGAAGAGTTGAGTCAACGACAAGCAAAGAATTAAACCCATGGGAACCATTGGCTGAATGGAAACAATTTCTACACATACAATTTATCTTTCTTCATGATCATATACTTGATTGTTTTTCCTTTTGTTAGTACATATGAAAAGTAGATAAAGCAAACAAAATACAAAAACTATGCTGTTTTCTTGTTGAATAATAGAATGTAATTTAATAATATCACTTAAACTCTTTTTATTTTTTTCTATTTTTTTACTATGTGCCTTTTCTTCAGGGGGCAAAACAGCCAATACTGACGTAGGCAGTTCAGAAAACAATGCACTTAAGCTATTTTAAATGTTTTTTATTATTGTAGCTACCCATAAAGAGTAGTTAAATAAAATTAAGAGTTGTGAAAGAAGAGTTATAGCAAGACATAATCTGTTCTCATATGACTTCCTACTCTAGAGACTCTGTCCCTTGCCACCATCAGGAAGGAGTAGTATTTTCCATCCTGCCTAAAACAAAAGATTAGAGTTGTTGATTGCTTTAAAAGTTGGCAAATTATATTAGGTTGGCATTATATATCATTTACAGATGATTTGTTCATTGAAATGTGCATTTTCGTTGTTTTCCATTCCTTTGATTACTTTATGAAGTCTATATTGGTATGGAAAATATAATGCTATTTGGGTAGTATGACAATTTGTGAAATACCATATAAGTCAAGGTTCACTAATTTGGAAAAATGGAAATGAAAAGACCTTGTGACGATGAAGAATTGGAATCAGAGCTGCTTCAAAGGACATGTAAACATGCACAGTTCCCAAAGAGACTCTCAAAAAAGGTCCAGCTGGGCTGTGTTAATGAGCAGAGAAGAATCACTTAGTATTGTGCAGGAAGTGTCTGCAATTAGATGTTTAAATGTTTTTTTTAATACTTGTAGAATGTTTGCTCTTTAAAATGGGCTAGTTCCTCTGCCATCTTAAACTCTCAAATGTGTTCATTATACTCTACGTAAAAATATAGGCAAAAATGCTATTCTTTGTCCTGACTTGGGATGAATAATAAATTCATGATGATTTACTATGATTATGTGCTTTTTCTATAGATGACATGAATTAAAAAGCACTTAAGATGCTTTGAAAAATACAGAGTATGCATTTCAGCTTCTTTTTCACATATCACAGATACAGGATTAAATGCCTTAGAAGGAAAAATAGAAATCCAAAAAGAATTGTTGATTAAAGTTCTCTACTGTTTAATTTATAACTAAGTTTCCAGCTACTATATGGGGACTAGGCATTTAATAAGATATTGTATATGTTCCTTTACTAGTGAAGAAATGTAAAATATATAAAAGTATTTTCTTATCAATTTTTTCAATAAAAATTAACATATAAAATTTAGTAATTTAATATAATTTATTTAAACATAGATTTGAATTAAATATAATAGATTGCTCTGGCTTATACGATTTTATTTAAATCCTCAAGTCCTATCCTGGACTTGAGAGTTTCTGAGCCTGTTTTCTTTCTCTACAGCTACAGCCGTATCCAGTGAACAAAATCCTGTTATTATCATTGCTGTGGTTGCAGTAGCAGGGACCATAATTTTGGTATTTATGGTCTTTGGTTTCATCATTGGAAGAAGGTAAAGACAAATACATTTTAATTTTTACCATACAATTATTCAGAATTATTATTAAATTATTTAGTATATCATGTTATGGATGTTATAAATTTATATATATATTTTTATATATATGGCCATTGCCCTTAGTTGAAGGAGAATGATTATTGTAAATTCTCATATATGAATTTTTATTCATTCTTTTCAGTGTTAAAGTGTAGTAATAAACATAAATGATACCTGGGGAACTGTTTGTCTTTATAATGGTTCATTAATGGTTAATTGTCTATGATGTGGAAACTTAAAATCTATTGCTTAGCATATTCTCTACTGACCACATGATGACCTATGATGTGTACTTTCTCTTTAACTCCCCTTCAGTTTTTCTAAATAAAAGCACATAAAAGAGTTAAATAAAATCTATTATTTATTTCAGCAAAAAGTTTGATGAAAGTCACTCATGGATTAGAGACTAAAGCACTTCAAAATATGTCCCTTTTTTCATCATTCCACAAAAATCTTTGTTTTCTGTATCTTGTAAAATCATGTGTCCCACTTTGTTAAATTAAATATGTTCATATTAAATAAGTTTATACCTGGAAGGGAAATATTTATATTTTGTATATAGTTCTAATTTGCAAGACATCAAATATATTAAAATCACATAAAACATGTTATCATGTAAATGGGATATTTTAAGTATAAAGAATGCTTGTGAAATAAAGTATGTCATACTGAAACTTTCTGAAGGCTATTTGTTAATCTCATCAAAATATTTTTCAGACATTGTGGATATAGTAAAGCTGACCAAGAGGGAGATGAAGAACTTTACTTTCATTGTAAGTGTTTGGCTTTTCTTTATTATTATATACCACATTTAATACAGAAATCTGTTTGTTTTGATTGGCATGAATTAATTCCTAGTACATCATGCTTGAAATTATTTGAGATTAGAATGCTGCTTTCAAACACTTGAACAAGATATTCAGAATGAAAGTTATAAAATATGAATTTTGAAAATAAAATATATTCAGGGTTTTTTCTCAAAAGAAACTTTATTTAACTTCAGTATGTTATAGCTCCTTTATATCACAATTTTTCATTTTGCGAATGTTGCCCAAGTGTTCCATACCATTATATTAGTAATTCATTAATTACTGCATGAGCCCACATTTTAGGTAAGCAACTCATTTCAAATTAGAGATTTTTCCCTTTTTCCCCAACCCTACAAATAATGCTGTAGAAAAGACTAAGCTGAGGCGCCTCTTTTCTTTTTCATTAGCTACTTCGAATTTTCATCACTTATAGGAACTTAAAGGTATTTCATGGGAAATAGATTAATAGAATTTGTTCCCAGATATTTTCCTATGGATTTGGGTTACCTGATTCTTAAAATTTATATTTTATAAATCATATGCAGAAAGTAATTTAGGGAGCCAAAGAAATAGATGCCCGTATACATTAATTAGATTTTTTGCAATATGAATGGTAGATAAAATTATAAAATGTGTTTGAATAAGTGGTATTACATCACTCAGAGAAGTAGAAAACAAATAGTCACTTAAATTGTATCCTCTGACTGTTCTGTTTCTACTTCTGTTAAAGTCAGGTAATGCATTTTAAAAGGTGCTTACCCAAATCCAGTATTTCTTTTATTTTTAATCCTTGAAAATAAATTTTTAATTATTTATTATTTTCTTAGCAGCTAAAACTTTATTAAATTTTTTCATGATTAACAAATTTTGTGTCAAAAATATTATATTTTCACATCTCTATCAAAATTTTATGTCACTCTCCACACTTATATTCTTAGGTGTTCATCCTAAATTTATAAACATGCAAGCATCAATCCAAAAACTGTGCAATTAAGTCTCAGTATTCGACACTATTATTATTATTCCCAAATTACTTCATTGTATGTTTATTTTTTTAACAGTTACTTTACCTTAGTTTTCTTAAGAAATGACTTTACCCAATACACATTCAAATTGATTAGGAAATTATCAAATTGCAACATCTGAAGGCAGAAAGAGTATGTTAGATACTGTAAATTATATAAAAATGTATGGCCAGAGGAAGCTTTATTCCTTGAGGTTCAGAGAAAGCCCTAACAATTTTGTAGCATAATCCGACTTAGATATTTCTTCTTCCCCGTTGGTGGCTGTGCCTTATTTTCTAAGGATCGTGCCTCACAAAACTTAAGTCTATACCAAATTCAAACTAAAAACATCTGATTCTGGCATTTTCTCTTCAGGTTGATACCTCTCTTGCACATGTTGTTCTTCCTTTTGCTAATCCAAAAGGACTTTTTCTGCCTGTAGCAAATCTTATTTATGAGAGAGTCATCGAGTTTATAGCTAGAATATGTACCCCAAAATTGAAAGTTACTTTTTAAAATCTTGTATTACATAAGACAATATTTTTAACACATCCCTAGACAGAAAGGAGAGGATCAAAATTTGCATCCCTAAACTAAAATCTACTTTAAATGGCCATTAGTGATAGCACAGTGGGAGGGCACTTGCCTTACACATGGCCAGTCCACTTGGATTTGATCCAAGGCATACCCCAGGCCCTGCCAGGAGTGATCCCTGAGTGCTGAGCTAGGAGTTAACCCTGAACTCTGTTAGATGTGGCCCCAAAACACAAAGTAAATTAATGAAAAGCTACTTTTAAATATATTCATATGTTGGTAGGCCAGAAAATAAGTACAGGATTTAAGAAACTTACCTTATATGCATCCAGTCCCAATTTGATCAGCAGCACTCACTAAATGGTTCCCTGAGCACCATCAGGTGTGACTCTGAACAGAGATCCAGAAACAGACCCTGAACACTATTGGGTATAGACCAAAAACAAAATTAATATATCTTAAAATAAATTTTAGGGTCCTGAGCAATAGTACAGCAGGTAGGGCACTTGCCTTGCATGTGGCTGACCCAGGTTCAATCCCTAATACATCATATGGTCCCTTGAGCTTGTCAAGAGTGATCCCTGAGTGCAGAACCAGGAGTAAGCTCTGAGCACCACCTGGAGTGGCCCAAAATAAGTACATTTAAAATAACATATATATGCATATGTACACATATAAATATATATGCATGTATAATTTGGAGGGAAGAGAAGGAAGAAAGACATAAAACCCTTATTCCTGGAATCCCTGATTCTACCTATATGGAAATAATTTCATGCCAGAATCAATTGATATTACTTTAATAGTATTACTTTTACTTTATTGAGTATATCTGAGATATACTCTTTAGTATAGTTGCTTTTAGACTGTAGATAATAGAGAGGGTAAATGGAAACATGCCTTATCTTTAACATTTATATAGCATTATGTTTAATACTCACAAGTATGTTTTAAGATTTTGATAGTGCCATTTGCTTTTTTTTTACGTTTGACATCCAGTTTGTAATTAGAACAAAAAATATAATTGCATGTTTTACTTGCTAACATAGTCAAGATTTGTTTTTATCTCTATAGCAAAATATCACTGATGGTTTTAAGATATTTAACATTCAAGAGAATATAAATGATATGTTAAAACACAAAAGTTCATACTATTAAGATAGACACTGTTGTTGATATTGGATGGAATTTATGAAAATTATATTAGAATTTTACTTATTTAAAATCTCTAGTTTTAAGTGAATAATGAAAAATCAAAGTGCACACAGCATATTCTAACCGGGTAAATACATAATATTTTTAACTACCTTTTTTAATAAAGATAACTTTACTTGTCAGACGACAAGATCCAGGCGTTTCATTTGACTTTATGACTTCACCCAAAATATATAAAGTATAACACTATGGTCACAAGCTATTTACAAGTTGGTGTCTTTTTATTCCTTGAGCATGTAGTCAATTTTCTTAGGTGCTAAGAATCCAGATTGAATTTTTGCAGAAATATGAAAGCAACCATTTAACTTTAGCGTTTGGAGCACCAAATTTAATAGACTGTCCAGTAATTTATATCAGGTACCCTCAACTTCCCATGGCCCCAAGTGTTACATTTAAAGATATAAACACAATGGAGGAGTTTAGTGAAGCAATTCTAATTTACATTTTGTTTCCTCCTACCATTTCTTCAAACAACATCTTCGAATCCAAGTTGGGCAGTATTTCATGTTTTTGTGCCAAAATTGCTCTAGCCTGTCAAAATGTTTTATGACAGCATGAATAAAGAACCATCAGAGATCCATTTGAGATGCAGAAGGTTACCTCCAATCTAGCTCCCTTATCAGAAAACAAAACCAAATAAACAAGAAAAGAAAGAAGGAAAAAAATAAAAAGGGAGAAGATGGCTCATTCTCCATCTGCCTGCCAATCTAGGAGGTTAACCTATTGTTTTCTTCCCTTCTCTCTTTTTCTCTTCCCCATCCCCTCTTCCCTGTACTCCTTCTTCTCTCTTTTCTCTTTCTATCCCCTCTCTCTTTTCTTCTTGTGTTTTTTTTCATGTTCAGCTTTAGTAACAAATGAGCATCTGTCAGTTTTATAAACTGCAACAATAATTGTTTAAGACAATCAATTTTGGATACACAACTACAGCAGAATAAATCAAGATTTTTAAATCCCATTTTCCTTTATACATTCTGCTTCTTTTTGTTTGTTATGTATTTATTTTTTAAATATAATTTTAATTTAATGTAATGACATAAGCACAGTTAGGCTGCAGTGTAATACATGAAGAATTATATTGTTCTCCAAATAGTAAGATTTAATGAAAAGATTGTTTGGTGGCTTTGTTAAAAACAATAAAGGTTTTTTTTTTTGAGGATATAGTGTAATTCTTTTCATTGCATTCATCTAACAAAATATGCCTATCTGACTTATCTATGTCTAACTAAATGATTAGCATTGAAATACATCATTGTAATAAAATTTGATTTAAAGTTAACATTAACATTATCTGTTACCTGCATGCTTCTGGGTGCATTTTAAGATTTTAACTTTTAAGATGATTCAATGTTGTTTGAATTTTGACTACCTTTCCTGAGAGGCATATTGGCTACCTCTTTATTGAGCCTTATGACTGAAAATCATATGAAACATTCCTCTTTCAAATTGCTGTCATACGTGGTTAGCAGATCCCAGGAATCTTGTAAATTTTCTAACTTTACTCTGCACTTTGTATATTTGACCTCCGTTGCCCCTCACGGTGAAGATGAAACTGTGTCTTTAGTATATTTCTCTCTGACTCTGTGATAGTAGTCCTCACATCTTGTATTAATTTTATGTATATGTCAACGGTGGTTGGTCTTTAAAAAAATAAATCAAAAGAATAAGTAAGATGTCTAAATGTTTTTAATATTGATGTCAGTATAGTAGGCTACCTGTAAATGAAATGTCTTCTTTTCCCAGTGTATTAACTTGATTGATTGACTGACTGATAGATTTACAAATGTGTTTCCAAGTCTATTACAAACCTCAGTAAGGCATGAACTATGCCATGATAGTGGTGAATTTAATTAAACCTCCAGTCTGATAAGAGTCATGTCAGAGCATTTTGGTGATGTCTTTTGTTGATTTACTGGAAAAGCAATTCAGTTAGTAACCTATGAACTGGATCCCATGTTACCTATAGAAGCTTGCAGATAATACCTATACGTCAGCAGACTGAAGTAGTCTGTTAAAACTGCTGTGAATCAGGTGATGTGGAAGCAAGTTCACTGTTCCAAGGAGCACTCTGCATAATGAAATTCCTGGGCTGACTGCACAATAAGTGCTTTGCTTCATCACAGTCATGCTTTCTTACATCATTACAGTTAAATTTCCAGGCACCAAAACCTACATTGACCCTGAAACCTATGAGGACCCAAATAGAGCTGTCCATCAGTTCGCCAAGGAGCTAGATGCCTCCTGTATTAAAATTGAGCGTGTGATTGGCGCAGGTAAGGCTGTTGTAGCTTCCTTGTTTAGCTGTTCCATTTAGCCAGGATCGAAAGTCATACATCATAATGACAGGCAAATAATTATACCTCAAGTATAGAACTTTTGCATTTACCTGAACTGTTAGAAGCAATGAGGCTGTGCTTGTTTATGAAATCTCAAAAAAAAAGTAGAAAAGAAGCATGGGGCACAATGATTCTGTGTATCTTTTTTGTTAAATTTCCAATGTACTGTTCTATTTCATGCTGTTCCATAATAGTTCTGGCTTATGTTACTTCAAGTATGGAAACTCAAGATATGACTTAGCATTGGGAAAGGAAAAACTAGGGGCTGGAAATCTATACCAATGTTCTACTTGTCATGCATATGTGAGTGTCCTGGGATAAATTCATAATAACTGCAAACAATTTACTTCAAAATAAAAAATGTAATGTTCCTGAATTTTACTCGAACATACATCTCCTCTTACTTGATTTACCGTATTCTTGCTAATTTTTCTTTCTTTGTTGGGAGCAATCTCAAGCAATTTCCAGGGATTCCACTCACAAAATGTTCAGAGAACCAGGCTGAGGGGTTGAAAGGTTCAGTGCTGCTGCTAGTACTCTGTGGTGCCAGGGATCACCAGGGCCAAAGTGGTGCTGAGGACCCCTATGGCCACACCTAGTGATGCTCAGGGGCCTCCAGGGATACACTCAACACTGCTCAGGGGATCGTGTGGTACCAGGTTTCAAACTCAGATTTTAGTCTATGCAAAGTTTGTGCCTCTGAAAGCTGAACTCTCCTCCCAGCCCCTACACCTTTCAATTGTATCTTATTTTCTTGCGTTTGCATTACATAGCCGCTGTACTACTTAAATCCATGACAAAATTATTACGTATGGAGTATTTTTTAAAAGTTTTCTGCAGATACAGTACATTTTGATAATAATTGCACATTTGGAAAACCAAACCCTTTAAAATCAGCAGATGTAATTTCTATGAGGTCATGGATTTTAAATCTCTAGGAAGTATTTGCTTCTCAAATTGTAAAAGCATGTAAGTGGATGTCATAGCATTTGCTAATGTGCTCTTAAGCTTTAGTAGACAGTATATTTCAAATCTAAATGTTATTTCTGAAAGAGTTTGTTAATCCAGGTCAAAAATAAAACTTGGGGGGGGGGTGACAGGTAGAGAATGTTCATATGCGGGATATAAAGGAACATAGTGGAGAAATAGCAAAGCCCAAAGGCAACAAAAACTGAGAACCTGTCTTCAGTAGGAAGTTTATCATGGGGGCGCAGAGGGCAACACTGGAACCTTGGTGGAGCCAAGCAGAAGCTGTAGTGGATATTGTGCTGAATTATTTTATGTATGGAATCCTACCACTATCAGTTTTGTAGGTCACAGTGCCTAAAATAAAATTAAAATTAAAACAGCGCTTGGATAGCATGTAGTTTGGAAAAGCTCAAAAGCGCTTTTAATGAATGTTCTTTATTTTATTTTGAGAAAGAAGATATTTCTGAAATTGAGACTCTGCGCTTTTCTGTTACTTCAGGAGAATTTGGAGAAGTCTGTAGTGGTCGACTGAAGCTCCCAGGGAAAAGAGATGTTGCTGTGGCCATCAAAACCCTGAAAGTTGGTTACACAGAGAAACAAAGGAGAGACTTTTTGTGTGAAGCAAGTATCATGGGGCAGTTTGACCATCCGAATGTTGTCCATTTGGAAGGGGTTGTTACGAGAGGTAGATACTAATTTTATTTTTATTTGTAAAAGTGACACTGTATGATATACATAATCAAGTCAAATTATGAGTATATTCTAAATGGAATAGGAATCTTTCATTTGGGGAGGGAGGGGTGTAACTGCTTAAAACAATGCTTCTTTGGTTTCAGAAAAAAATGTTCATGGGGCCAGACATACACTACAGCAGGTAAGGCACTTGCCTTGCACACAACCTCCCTTGGTTCAATTCCTGGTACCACATACGGTCCCCTGCACCATACTGGAGTGATCATTGTGCCCAGAGCCAGGAGTAAGCCCTGACTACTGCTGGGTTTGGCCCCAAACAAAATAGTAAAAAGGATAAAGTAAGCAGGACTAGAGTTAAAGAAGAAACCTGGTATAATAGATTTCCGTTAACTTCGGAAGCCATAAAGTTGATTGTTAGTACCATGTCATTCTCTGACTTCTATTAACAAAGCAGGAGTCAGAATACACAGTGATTTATTGTTTAAATTTATGAATCATGACAATATTCAAAACAAACATTTGATGGTTCTTTGAGCTTAGCTGCATTCCTAGAAAAACACTTGAAGGCTCACCACCTCCCCACTCTGTCTTTCAGGAATGTGTTCTATTTGGAATTAGAAAAGGCATCACCTTGAAGTTTAGGGCGTGATTTCTGGAGATTTTTGGTTTATTTTTATATATATGTGTATACATATGCGTATCTATATATTTAATTTTAGGAAAGCCAGTCATGATTGTCATAGAATTTATGGAAAATGGAGCTCTAGATGCATTTCTCAGGGTAAGTAACAAAATCATACTTCTAGTGCTAATATATAATTTTATGAACGCTGTTTTGCAATGTAGGATGTGAGATTATAGAATATAATTGTCAGAAAATGTAGTTTATAATAAGAAAATATTCAGAGTGCTCTTTGGAACTAGAATCATTGCTGAGCACTTAGGTGATAAACAATTTCTGTTAACATTTTACCTCAAGAATAGGGAATACCAGAAGTCTCCATAATTTGAATACATTTCACTTTTCTCAGTAAAATTTCAGTTAAACATGACGGTAATACAGAGAAGAATTAAAAAGGAGTTAACCATTCATTACGGGTACAGTGATTCCAACTCTGCTTTACTGAATCACTTCTATCACATTATTATGTTTATATCAAACATAAAATGTGGAAGTATTAACATGTTAAAATTAATAATGTGCAATTTTTATAGATGAAAAATTATGAATTTGTAAAAATGCATTTTTTATTCTCAAAGTACCTGGACTGTGTTAGCTTTTTTTAAATGGAAAAGAGGAAATAATTCAAAAAATAAGAGAACAAAGTTATCATTCATAAAATAGAACAATACATAGACCTAGATTTATAAGAAGTCCAAGCACTCAGATAAATTTTTATTGCTGCATTTTCGTAATAGCATAACTATTAACTCACTAGAAAAAAGGCTCACTTAGAAAGATTGTTTACTAAACCAATGTATTGTATGTATTTGTAATTCAATTTGAAAAAAAAACTTGGAATGTAAAGTGGATTAGAAATTTCTGGTGGCTAATCCATTGTAAAAGTGTTCCCACTTGCTAGCAGTTCTATTTTAGGGACTCTTTGTTGCAATAAATATTCCTCAGAATAGCAAAACAAGGAAAGGAATATGCCGAAAACAAAATCAACTAGTATTATTTTTTTAACTTCTTAGTTCCTTATTGTTCATGCACAATACTTTTTATCATTTGCTTTTTTTTATCATTTTGATAAAAAAAATCTGTAGTTGACTTTATTCCTTTGTATAATTTCAGATGATTTAATGTTTTGGGTATGTGTGAAAAACATTAGCTATCAGAAAAATGTTTTTTAGATATTTCATTCTCTGAAAAATTAGTATGTGCTTTCGGATTTTCCCAATTATAAATGTCATGAACTAATACATTAATTTATAAAAATGATCATTTACTAAAATGATACTCTAAGTTAAATCACCACCTATGATTTTCACAAATACTTATATATTATATAGAAAAGTCATTATATAGAACATTATTTTATAATTCTTGTTATATAATTCCTGCTATAAATAACTGATTATCTATTATACAGTTGTTAATGACTTTTCATGATGATGTCTTTTCACTTTCAACATTCAGTTAACTGGCTTTTATTTTGTCTTTGGCAGAAACATGATGGACAATTTACAGTCATTCAACTCGTTGGAATGCTGAGAGGAATTGCTGCTGGAATGAGATATTTGGCTGATATGGGATATGTTCACAGGGACCTTGCAGCTCGAAATATTCTTGTCAACAGCAATCTTGTTTGTAAAGTGTCAGATTTCGGTCTATCCAGGGTTATAGAGGATGATCCCGAAGCTGTCTATACAACTACTGTAAGAAAAATTCTTATTACTACACCTCTGTAAATCTCCAAGATTTTCCTACTAAGAAAGGATTTAGTAATGTAAACTAAACGGGAGTTAAGAAGCAAATTGATCTCAGATTGAAGTGGTTATATTTTATTATGTGAAAATTTCATTCACCATTCACATTTAACTTAATTATGATTCACATATTATTTAAAAGAAGAAATCTTTCAAAAATTAACAAATACCTTTGGATTTTCCCAGTCCTAAATGTTGTAAACTAACAGATTAAATATCTTGTATTATTTATCTAATATAATTTTAAGCTAAGTTTATCTTGAAATCTTACAATGACACTGTTAATACAAATCATGTGCAAACGTGTAGAATAGTACACAGTGAGTAGCCTGTGTAGTTACAACAGAAAATGTAATCACCCTATTCTGTACATTTATTTATTTGAGGGGGCTGGAGCAATAGCACAGTGGGTAGGGTGTTTGCCTTGCATTTCCAATGCAGGTTCAATTTCTCCGGCCCTCTCAGAGATCCCAGCAAGCTACCAAGAGTATTCTGTCTGCACGGCAGAGCCTGGCAAACTCCCCGTGACATATTGAATATGCCAATAACAGTAAAAAAAAGACTCACAATGGAGACGTTACTGGGCCCACTTGAGCATATCGATGAACAATGGTAGGACAGTGGTACAGTGACAGTGCTATTTATTTGAGGACTCCCAAATGGTTCTCAGAGTGCTCGGGGACCACTCCCAGTAATACTCAGCCAGTGGGGTTAGAATTTCAGTGCCAAAACTCAGGCTGTCATCTTTCTGCTTTGAAGTGCTGGGACACACCAGAAAGACTGGAGCAGTTCTCAGGGGGCCTCTAAGTTCTCTGGACCTCTAAATTCTCCCTTGCAGTGCTCAGGGCCAATAGGGCTAGCTATCTCTGGAGATCTGGTGCCACATCACTTCCAGGTTGGCCAGTCCTCTATACTATTTTCCCAACCTCTATTATCATATTTTAAATAAGTTTAATATCTAACTTCCTCTTTTATTTGTTGTTGTTGATACTATTACCATAATGAACGGAGGTCTCAAGACCTTTGACCATGGTGCTCACTGTGGTTTACATTTCTTTAGCTCCAGTGCGGGCACTGGTGTTGCACTCTTTAGCTGGGACATGTGTGTTCCAATTGTAGTGGTTTTCTGGAGATCAGTACAGTGCTCAAACATCTTCCTTTCATTGTGGTTGTCACCAAGCATCACATTCCAGTCGCTTATACATACATAACTGCAGTCTAGACATTGGTTTCAGATCCAGAGACCAAGGGTATCAGAATTATCAGGCTCAAAGAACAGAGCAGTCAGGATCGCGTTCAGTGTGTCTGATAATACAGGTGCACATTTAACTCCTGACCATAGACTTGAAAGACAGAGATCATAAACTATTGCACTATTCTTCTGGGCCCTTGATAAAGATTTTAAGAGAAAATAAACTATGATACAATTTTTGTGAGATTAGAAAATAGATTAATATTAGGATTTAATTAATAAAGCCATATTTTATTCTGTTTTCATAGTTATTCTCTCTAATTTAGCCTTTTGACTCCACACTTGTCCTAACACTACATAAATCCCACTAAACTAAATTGTTTTAAAAATAAAAATGTGTAATATTATTTTAGAAAATAAATTAGTAGCTTTAAATATTGTTAGATTCACAATCAGATGCCATATGTTTAGCTGAAAATTAATGGTACCATTATAAATTATAATAATCTTGAATATTGAAAATATTATTTTTATTATAACAGGGTGGGAAAATTCCAGTGAGGTGGACTGCACCTGAAGCTATCCAGTACCGGAAATTCACATCAGCCAGTGATGTATGGAGCTATGGAATTGTCATGTGGGAAGTTATGTCTTATGGAGAAAGACCTTACTGGGACATGTCAAATCAAGATGTAGGTGTCACCATTATTTAAACAAAAATTACCTTATGCATTAATGTCTATTTTTATTGGAACATGTAAGTAATGAGTTATTCAGAAGAAACTTTTATATAATTATCAAGAAATTTTGACTACTTTTCCACAATTATGGATATACAGTACAACATTAATTACTATATGTTAGTATTCAAGTAATTTTCATTGTTTCTCATTTGAGAATGTTTTTTGTCTTTTAAAATTGTTTTAATTTTAAATTTTCTCAAAATAATATAAAGCTACAAAACATTTTCCTTCTAAATAAGAATAATGGGGCTCTGCTCACAAAGCTATCTTGAAAAAAATATAAAGAGTAAAAGAACAATTTGCATAAGGGAGAGGAAGGAAGGCTGTGTGTTTTTTTTTAATCTTGAAGCTTATTTGTTTGTTTCCTGAGAGAATCTATTTAAATTGTCTATTGACTGATTTCATTAAATTTTAATTTCAGGAGGCAATTTATATTTTATGATCAATATTGTTAAGTGTTTCATAGTGATATTTTATAATATAGTCACAAGGGGAGTATCCATGGGAAATTCTTTAAGATGCATTTATTACATGTATACCTGTTGCCATGAGGACATTCTAAGACATAAAACATGGTGTTGTAGGAGATAACGGTCTTACCCTTCTCACCCCGAACAACAATTTATAAAATCATGTGACCTAAATGCAAGTTAAAACTTGTTTGTACTAGATTTAATGTTGTGAAGTGAACAATTTTGCGACAAACCTTTCAAATACTAAAACATTCTAACACAATGTGTTAAAAATGCAAATACATGTTAGATCAAATGTGTAAAATCTAGGAAGACACCCAGCTTTGAAATAGAAGTTTGGAGAAGACCTTCATTCATCACTGCTGAGTGAATTTTCCAAGGGAGTGCATAAGAAGGAGTGGAAGCAAAGCTTTAGTTCAGGTGCCTGGAGAATACCAAGGTGATGCTATCAAGGAGACTTCTGGCAGAGATACACATGTTGATTATGATTTGAAATGAAGGTTGAGTTCAGACAAACTGATGTTTTTTGGAAGCAATACAAATGAGAATTTATCACAAGATTAAAAAAATAATGCTTGAACAATTCAACGTTACCATTTTAAAAAAGTATGTGACTAGCAAAATTGTTTGGTATAGGCAACTCTTAAGGTATTGTAAGTCAGTGTAGATAGCAGTAAAAGTTTTTATTTTATAAGTTAAAGAAAGTAACATTGTTATAATTAATCAGTTTTTATTTTTAAATTTGGTACTTCCTTTGTCAGGTTCTATGGTTCCTTAAACTTGGGAATAGTTGTTTGCAGACAACTCATGTCAGATTGTATGTTAGTAAGTTGATTCTGGGTACATTTTTCTGCAAATGTCTGCATTAAATGCAAATTTCACAGCCTTTTAAAAAGCAGAGATTATAAATCAATTCAGTATGTTGCTATTTTTAGTCAGGGCATGAAACTTAATTTTTTATTTTGTTTTTGCTTTTATTTTTCAAAGATATAAGTCTAAATGATGAGTCCGTTTGGCAGCAGCAAAGTTGTTAATATTTGACAGGTCTCAGTGTCAAAGATTTTATGGACTGTCAAAAAGTGGGCAAACAAATCCTTGGGGCACAGAAAGAGAAATATTTACATTCCCTAGACACTCAGTAGAGTTTCATTTCTTTTGACACCTTCCTTCTATACTATATTCAAACATAAAGGAATGACAAGAATATAAGATGACTTAAATTCAAAGTTCACTTAACTTCTAAAAACAAATAGAAGTGGCATGGAAGAAATAAATCTTCATTTTAAATCATTTAAAAGTTTTTAGCTACTTTTAAAAAAATTATAATACCACATATGTGTAATTAAAATTATTTAGAGAGAAAAATAATAGTCATTATGCCTACTGTTACATTTAGTCCTGACCTAGGAAATTGAACACATTTTTTACTTAAAGATCTAAAATTATTGAGCAAGGTTTTTACTTGAAGGTCTGTTTTTGTAAAGTTGGACACACTTTTGTATTACTTTGAAATTACCTATACAGCACACTGTTATGGTGAAGTTGATACTAAATTCCTCTTAGAGGATGATACAAGGTGTCATTTAAACAATTACCTGTGCAATTTTCAGTATGCAAATGATGAAAATTGATAATTTGAAATAATTTATTCAGATAAAAAATAATTTCACTTTCCTTAGAGTCTCTAGCAAGTGTTCACAGAAAACTTAAGCTCTGTAAGCCCTCTCGTATATATGGAAATCCTCTGTGCATATGTTTTACTGGGAAAGTTGCTTTCATTAGATTTCAGAGACATTAAATTTTTATTAATTAATCTAGATTTATATACAAAGCAAAGGAATTTGTTTTATATTTTATTAAGTTTGATTACCAGGGAATTTGTAAAGGTTTCTGAGACTACTAAAATATTAAATGTAATATGCCTTAATTTTTCAAATGGTATCATAAAAGCAGGACATATAGAGATAGGCATGTTTGTAAAATATTTCCGAAATTCTTGGCTGAATATTTAAGTCTTTTTTCTGATGATTCTAAATAAATAGATAAAGGTCTTCTGAAATCAATGAAGAAAAATCAATCTCAGTAAATAAAACATGGGAAAAATTATTCACACTCACACCCAAATAGATGTACCAGTTGATTCATTTGAAAGTTTCCATGTGCCTATAACTAGAGTTTTCAATGAAATGGAATGAAATAGAGACAGATATGATTATTTACTATTAATTGAGGGTCAGCATTTTCAAATACATTTTAAACATGCATTCCTATTAATAATCTTTAGATGTTTATTCCTTTTGATTAATGTCCTTTTAAAGACAAATCTTTGTATATATAAATTAGTCACCCATTTTAAATATTGCATAAATAAAATATTTTTCATTTCATATTGACAAACCCTTTTAATTAATTTATGCAATAATCCAAATACATTTTTAAATTACTAATTTTTAAAATATCATATATACTTTTATTTCAAGAACTCAAGTTGTTTTATCTCTTAAAGTAAAGTAAAGGCCCTCCCGTTGATCTTCGATTTGCTCGAGCGGACCCAGTAACCTCTCCATTGGAGACTTTGTTGTTACTGTGTTTGGCATATCAAATACGTCACGGGGAGCTTGCCAGGCTCTACCGTGCAGGCGAGATACTCTTGGTAGCTTGCCGGGCTCTCCGAGAGGGGCAGAGGAATCGAACTCGGGTCGGCCATGTTGGCTGCATGCAAGGCAAATGCCCTACCGCTGTGCTATTGCTCCAGCCCTTAATTAACCTATTAAGTGAGATTAATAAATGATTTTATTAATACAAAGTCACAAGATTTCATAAAGATATGAAACATACAAGGTATGTATTTAAGGTATTGACATTAAAACTATTTAAAAGCTATGAAATATAGTATGCTTATAACTAAATTTATTTCCAATTAAATGTTAAGTCCTGTTTTTTTTGAGTAGCAAAACTACTCTCATAAAAAATTAAGATGAATATATTTTATCCTTTAAAATACATCATTTTTAAATATAAAAAATATCTTTTTTTAATATTGCATGTTTTTTAAAACCTTTTTTGTATCCTATAAATGGTATCCAAAATAACTTCATTGAACAAAATATGTCTAATTGTGGTAGGTTCAATAAAATTCATACAGATATAAGCAGTAAACAGAGCCATTTACCTAGCATCCTGCTTTTTTTATCATAGGTCATATCTCACAGATTTTTATATACCCTTCCTCTTAATTACAAGAGTAATCTTATTATATAGCTTTATAGTATACACCTATAACGATTACAGCTTATTGTGTTTTTTTAATAAAATGTGTTTCTATCAATTTCTGGAACTCTGGGAATGTTCTAGTATTAAAATTACCTATGAATATATATTTTTTTACTTTTTTTGGAATAAGGCTATACCTAGACAGGCAAACCTAAACCTTTTCTTATATTCTCATAAACAAAATATTTTTGAAATATACTTAATGAAATTACTTAAAATTTTATGAATAATAATTTCAGATATCCTACAAATATCTTCTTGTTTCTAATGCACCTATAACTATTTGCAGAACTTTTGTTTTCCCAATTAGAAACAAAATGCAGTTAACTAAAGTAAAACCAAAGAATCTCAAGATTCAGTTTGTGCCTGAATTACACCTCTTAGCCTGTTCATCCTTAGTTGGATTATGCTGGTTCAGAACTCTCTACAATTCCAACCAAATACCTCTAATGCTCCTGTACAGGGATAATTATAATGAAAAGTTTAGGGTTCAGTGTTCGTTCTGCATCTCTTATTTTAAATGTTATACTGGACTGGAGAGTCTTTAGAGATGTATAAGTCACCATGTATATCAGAACTAAAAGTTTCAGTCTGCGTTGAGATAAATATTGTGTTTGCTGCTATAAAACAGATAACCAAATTTCTTTATTTTACGGGGGATTGGTATTGGGTCACACCCAGCTCAGGGCTTATTCCTGCCTCTACACATAGGGATCACTCTTGGCAGATGTAGAAGACCATGTGTAGTGCCAGGAATCAAACCCAGGTCTTCTTGTGCAAGGCAAGAACATCTCTGCTGTACTATCTCTCCAGCTCCTGGAAATCATCAAATTTCTATAATATAATGGAACAACTATAGGAGTTCATTGATTGTCATTTTTGTAAGAAGCATTTAATTATACTGTACTTTATTCATTGATACAAAGACTTAAGACTATATTGTGTTCAAAGCTAAGGTGTTATAAAGGTATGACAAAGGCTTAAAGGTCTATTCAAGAATATTGTGTAGGTTAATCATGATAAGATTTAGATTTACATTTTAAAAGATAGTTTAAAGGAAAGAAAGGAAGGGAATGTCCTTTACTGTTTTTATTCCTTTCAGGATTTCAGAAGACAAGATACAGAAATATAGGTTAGGAGGTAGAACTAACCTATTCATTAGAAAATAATGACCCCCCCTAAGATTATAAGCATGCAATAGTTCTATCAAATTAGAAAATATACTACAGATATTCAAATATAATTTGTCTCAAGCATAAAGATGGCAATGTTTCCACAAGTGAAAACACAATCCTGATTTATCATTTGGTAATTTGTGGTATGCAGTATTTTAGACATTAATTATTCTCAGCTTGAATTTCTGTTTAAAGAACAAAGCATCTTTTCACAGTTTATGCATTAATTTTACTCTTTTACCGAATTCTTTAGTATCTAGCACTTTGGAATCCAAGAGTACTTCTGTCTCAGTAATGTTATACAAAGCCACATGAAAACTTTTACATGCACAGTACTTTAAAATTTTATTCCTCCTATATATTATATATAGTATGATATATACATATATTTATTATCCTTGTAGAGTTACAATTTGTATATGTTTATATGACATACAACTTTTTAATGGTATTTTTAGGGCAGTGTTTATAGTGATATGCAATAATTGTAGTAATAGTGTCATAATAGGATTTTGAAAAAATTCTTGCCATGTGGCCTTTATTAGCATTCAGCACTGAAATGTATTAAGGTCATTTAGGCTAAGTTGTTTTCTTCATAATTATTGTTACTCAAATAAATCACTTAATAAAAGACACATAGTGTAAAAAAACTTTTTATATCTTTGTAAAGGCTTAAGTATGGGGAAATGTCATGATCACTACCGGGATATGTGTAGGCGTGCACATGTAGAAAATACTTCCAGCATTTAAACATTTATCATACTTAGGAAGGAGCATTGCCATGAAATGCTAATTGACTATCAAACAGGGAATAGTTGAGTCCATTTTCATTTCAGCTTTCTAGCTGGGATGACTATAGGCACCATTAATAGAAACATTAAAGGTTTGAGGATATAGTAACCTGATTCCTCCGCCCCTCTCGGAGAGCCCGGCAAGCTACCGAGAGTATTCGATATGCCAGACACAGTAACAACAAATAAAGTATCTGATACAATTTTAAAAGTATAGATGGTATCTAGAAAATGTACAGGACATTCAATCTGGTGTTCAGTAGTTAATTTGGGTTAAGGATTCTTTTACTTAAAGTATTTGTTGAAAAATGCTATAATTAAGTACATAAACTATACCTTTTAAACTATCAACTTGCAGGGGGCCAGAATGATATTATAGCTGACAAGGTACTTAATTTGCACTTGGCTGACCAGATTCACTCTCAGATACCCCATATTTTCCCCTGAGCCCCACCAGAAATGATCCCTGGGATTGGAGAAAGCAATAATTCCTGAGCACCTCCGGGTCCTGCCACCTCCTCAACCTGTGTGTGTGGGGGGGGGGGGAATTATCCACTTGCATATGCAAAATTCTCTCTTAAAAAAGGAATCTTCTCTCAGTTTTCCCTTCAAATGTATTGATAGGAGCTTTTTGTGCGTTCCATACTATAACTCTGTACACATTAATGTGCACTTCTTGAATATAAACACACATAAGTCCTCTATAGTCGCAAATATTAAATTAATCAAAATACAAAGAGCTATTTTTTTCTATGAGCGGAAGTGCACCTGGCTGTTTTTATTCCTGGATCTGTGCTCAAGAGTTACACCTGGGGACTTTGAGAACAATACGGGGTGCTGGGGATTGAACCAGGGTCAGCTGCTTGCAGAACAAGAGCCTAACCCACTTTACTATTGCTTAGTTTGCCTAAAACTATCTTTTTAAAATTTTGTTTTCTTTTATTGAATGATCGTTAGATACACAGTGAGTTAACATTTTTATCTAACAAATTTTGACCTGTATTCTTTCAAAATTTCAAGATTATTTCTTTTTGATTTTTGAGTAATTTCTTTCCTTTTTTTACTGCCGTCGTTTCAGTCAATGACAAAGAATTTGTTAATCCTCCTTGAAAGTTATTTGAAGCTTTTATAAGACATCCTTATCTGTGTTGCTTAACTACTTAAATTTCTCTGTGATGCTCAGATCTGTAACTTTCTTTCTCTCATTTATTTTTTGTTTTGTTTTGTTTTGTCTTGGAGACAACACCTCGCTGTGCTCAGGGGTTACTCCTAGTTCTGTGCTCCTCCAAGATCACTCCTGGTAGACTCACGAGACCATATGGGGCGTCAGGAATCAAACTCAATTTGCCAGTTGCAAGGCCCTACATGCTATACTAATGCAACTGGCCACAGATCTGTAACAATTGTTAATGATTCAGATTTGTTTGTCTTTCCATATAAATATAAACAAGTTTGATTTTTTTTCTTTTTGGGTCACACCTGGCGATGCTCAGGGGTTACTCCTGGCTCTGCACTCAGAAATTACTCCTGGTAGTGCTCAGGGAAGCATATGGGATGCCGGGGATTGAACCAGCGTCAGCCATGTGCAAAGCAAACACCCTACCTGCTCTTCTATCACTCCAGCCCCATAAGTCTGAATAAATATTGTTTGGATTTTTTTATATAAAAATATAAATGCTTATGAAGGTTGTTTTTATAAAAATTCAAAATTATGTATAAATACAGTCTTATTCTATTATTCGGTGTGTAGACAGTGGTGTACTAATAATGTTTCACAACTAACACTATGAGTGAGAAATTATAGATTTGTAATCTTTCCTAATTTTCTTCTATAATCCTTCTCTCAGTCTTGTGCACCCATTTCAGTTAGATTTCAGTTAGAACTTGGAGATGGAAGTGAGAAAATTATCCTTGTGAACCAATATAAACTGATTCTAGCACACCACTCTGTGTCACAATTCTATGTTCATAAGTGCATAAGCTTTATATAATTTAAATAACAGCATGCTTAAATATATTCTCTGTTATAATAGAGTCAGAAATTTGATGTCTTATTTAAAAGTATCATTTGAAGTCTTAAAAAAGTAAAATTTATTCACAGTTACATATAAATAAAATCCTTCTATAGCATTCATTTCGAGAGCTTCTGGATTGACATTAAATTTCTTTCCATCTATTGCACCCTGGGTGAACTTAATTGCTCTCCCTGTTGCTGAATTAACCAGAAAATGTCATCATTTCCTACATTTTATATACCCCTTGATAATATTCTTAATGTACATGGATGTTTGGGGGGGTGGGGGAATAAGTCTTGCAAAGCAATGTATTTCACACTTCTCTGGATAAAAAATTTTGCCTACTGGGTAAGTCCTCTTATTATAATTAACTTTCGTAAGCAGTACTTTCATGTCTTCTTGGTTATTAGGTTATTAAAGCAATAGAAGAAGGTTATCGTTTGCCTGCACCCATGGACTGCCCAGCTGGTCTGCACCAGCTGATGCTGGATTGTTGGCAGAAGGAGCGTGCTGAAAGGCCAAAGTTTGAACAAATTGTTGGAATTCTAGACAAAATGATTAGGAATCCAAATAGTCTGAAAACACCCCTGGGAACATGTAGTAGGTAAGAAATATCTAAACAAATGGAATCAAGGAGAAATCAAAATACCGATATGAAGCATTGCACTCCTCAGATCCATCCCATTGCAAAGTGACAGCACTATAGCAATGTCCTCCTTTTGTTCATTGATTTGCTCATGCGGACACCAGGAACGTCTTCACTGGAGACTTGTTGCTGTTTATTTGGCATATCTAATACGTCACAGGTAGCTTGCCAGGCTTTGCTGTGTGGACAGGATGCTCTTGGTAGCTTGCTGGGCTCTCAGAGAGGTGGAGGAATCAAACCCAGCTGGGCCGCATGCAAGGCAGATGCCCTACATGCTGTGCTATAGCTTGTGATAAATTATGACTCCATTGATTTTTTTAATTTTTTAAATTTTCAGATGACTAACCTTAATTAAATTGATGCAGAAGAGACCTACTAAGTATTACTGTTTATTTTCTTAAAAGTTACAGTTTTCTCTGGCTCTCTAAAAAACTTGCATAAGAGGGATTTTTGTCATTGGGTGGAATATCCAATTTTGTACCATTTTGACTGTCCTCGCCACCGGGGCCCCTTGGAGGGGAGCGGGTTGAGCTTTCCTCCCCGCCCCGACCAGGGCTCCGGCAGCCAAAAACCTCCAGGACCAGCCACCACCATGCTAAGACCACTCTCCGCACACATGAAGGTACTGGCAGAGGGACAAAGTCACATGGGTTCCGGGGCCAAGATCTCTAAGCCTGCTCGGATTTGGGCCAAGCATCCTCCACCTAGATCCTCCAAATTCCAGTAGGCGGGGGTCACACCCACCAACTGGCCCCCTGGCGCCGTGTAATCCCATCAGCGGCCAAGACTCTGAGACTATAAAACCCAACTCCCGGACATCGTATTATGACATCTTATTATCTCATTCCTACTTTGGACAAACTGGAAGGCTACCGAATGTAGCCTGCTCACACGGCAGAGTCTGGCAAACTCCCCGTGGCATAGCCAATATGCCAAAGACCAGTAACAATGATGGGTCTCATTCTCCTAAAGAGCCTTGAATATAATCTCAGGGCTAGGATGAAGGAGACGTTACTGGGGCCTGCTCGAGGCAATCGATGAATAACAGGATGATTTGTGATTTTGATTTGTACCATTTTATATATTTATATTATTCACATATCATCTTTTTTATTTTACTTTGAAATATTTAGTAAAATGGTTCTGTGAAGTTAAAGTTCATGAAAGTAATCCAGTATATGATGAAGGTGGTATACCCAGTAGGAGTCCAGTGTACCTCCTTTCATTCTTTTTGCACAAGCCTTGCTCCACTGAATGCACATTAGTAGTTATTCAAGTTCAGCTGCCAGATAATTTGATGCCCTGGTTTGTAGTAGTAATTGGGCTTTTGTGGAAGTATATAAACACAAAAAGTTGCTCACAAGATACCAGTACTTCAGAGTAAGTACAGTGCTTTCAGTAGCAATCTTGTGGTCTGAACAAATCACTTCATAGCTGAAGATGCTGATTCTACTCTGTTAGTTTTGTATTAGAAAAATAACAAATATTTGTTTATTAAAAACTTGAGTGGATTTTCTAAAATCTATGGAAGATTGACTGCCATGAAATCTCAACAAGATATAAAATTTGGAGTTTTATCAAGTCTCTGGATGTATTAGATGTTTGTTAACATGTCTATTATTGTGTGCATTGATGAAGATATGCAGTTTGCAGTTTTATTCTTCATATATTAGTTTGCTATGAGCCAAGATAGTCTTTGTTTGATAACTCTTAAGAAAACTTCTTTTACATTTTTCAATCTTATCTAGGCCAATAAGCCCTCTTTTGGATCAAAACACTCCAGACTTCACTGCCTTTTGTTCAGTTGGAGAATGGCTACAAGCTATTAAAATGGAAAGATATAAAGATAACTTCACAGCGGCTGGCTACAACTCCCTTGAATCAGTGGCCAGGATGACTATTGAGTAAGATTAAGTTTATAAAATTATATTTAAGGATTGTTCAAGGTGCAATTCCAGTTTTATACGTTAGGCCACTATCTGTATAGTAACTTATCTGAACTACAAATTCAGGAAGAAAGACATTTCAGAGTTCATATTCTGAAAATCTCTATACTTTGTAGACCATTGAACCTTAAGTCATTAAAGTCTCATTTAAATGCAGCCATTTGTTTTACACACAATTGTTTTACTGTCCTGTCTTATTTAAAGTCGTATATAGTATATAGTCCTGTATTATTAAAAAATTGTGTTTTGCGAGTCAGTTGTTTTACAAACAGCAGGCTAATACTCAAACAATGGTTTCATTCTTTCCTAAACTGATTCAGCTAGCTAAATAATGACTAATTGTTTTTTAAGAAATAATCAGTGTTATATATACTATCCAACTATACTTACTTTGTCATTAATTATTTCATACTTTTTGTTATTATTCACTGGGGAGCCTTTCTCCATTGCAAAACTTTCTTTTATCATTTTTATATTAAATTGATCATTTTACTGATACCCAAATGCATAATGATAACCAATATGTTTCCTTTTGGTAGAGTTAAAGAAGTTTAACTCAATTAACCATAACTTAAAAGTTTAATTTATTTGGAAGGTGTGTGATTGACTTTTTTTTTAAACCTGGGGAGGGACCTGATGAGAATAACTTTTTAGATTGTATAAAGTGTAATAGAAATAATTAAATTCCCTTTCCTCCTGCACAATCACTGATTGTGTGGCCTTGGAAAATGTAATATCTCAGAACCTCAGTTTTTATGTTTGCCACATAACTCTATGGATTTTGTGGTTCTTCATCTAATGTGTTTGAAAATGGAGAACAATTACCAAGGTTCTGTTAGCTGGGTTCTCTTTATGTAGTCTTTTGAGAAGGGATCACTCTTTTTTTCTTTTTAGATGAGAGGAATGTCGGCTATTAGTTATTCTCAACATGTATATGAATTTAATATGTGTTAAATTATAAATACTGCCTTGTTTGGTTTTCTTGTCACCACATAGGTAGAATGGACATAATTACTCCCTTATCCACCCCTGTCCTCAATTCAGTTTATACCCCTGCAAAAACTGTGTTTTTCAAGGTCTTATGAACTGGCAGAGACTGAAATATTCTAGCACTATACTGTTGGTGATTTTAGCTGCTTATAAATAAACTAAGCTCAGTCTACTTTGCTCAATCAATCTAATCTATCTTCAAGGTAAACTGCATACAGATATGGTTAGCTTATGTCAAATTCAAGATATTAAATGTAAGTATTGTATTATTAAAAGGTGTTTTAATGTAAATTATAACTAAGCTAGAGTTAAGTATACAATCAATACTAGTTTAGAATTTCTATACAATGATTAAAATCAGTAAAAAAATGTTGTATTGTTGTTGATGATTCTCAGTTTACTAAAGGCCAACCAATATTATATTTATGCAGTACCCTGTTTCAATAATTAAAATTTTAACTTAATTTAGGATTTAAAAATACAAAACTTTGGATCAGGAATACAACTAAGTAGCAAAGTACACATTTGTATGCATGAAATCTAGGTTTACTTCCCAATACTTTAAAAAAAAAAAAAGTAAAATTTTATTTATTCGCACTGTAGCACTGTCCTCCCATTGTTCATCGATTTGCTCAAGCAGGTCTAGAAACATCTCCATTGTGAGACTTGTTGTTACTGTGTTTGGCATATCGAATACACCATGGGGAACTTGCCAGGCTTTGCCATGCGGGCGAGATACTCTCAGTAGCTTGCCAGACTCTATCTCCAAGGAGGCGGAGGATATTTAATAATAAATTGAGGGCTTCTTATTTCTTACACAAAATTTCAATTGAGTTTTAAAATAATGTATGACAAGTTGAGAATCTGAGCGGTTCTTACTTTACAAAGCTCAATCTTGGTATAGATCATTAATCTAACCAATGGCAGGAATATGATTGTCATACTTAGAAGACTAAGATAAAAGCTGTTTATCTATGACAAACATATTATTTAAAGAGTTGATAGTTTAGTGCCAAAGAAATTATTCATAAGGTAACTAACAAAAAATGTATTTTATCTTTTTCAGGGATGTGATGAGTTTAGGGATCACACTCGTTGGCCATCAGAAGAAAATTATGAGCAGCATTCAGACTATGAGAGCACAAATGCTACATTTACATGGAACTGGTATCCAAGTGTGATAAGCATTTCTCCCTTATGAGGGAGATTATGGACTGCAAGAGAACAGTACTGGCTTTCAGTATATGCATAGAATGCTGCTAGAAGACAGATGATGTCCTGGGTCCTTCATGCAGTGAAGAGAAAAATTAAGAAGCACCTATAGACTTGAACTCCTAAGTGCCACCAGAATATATTAAAAAAAAAAGGGAATTTAGGATCCACCACTGGTGGCCAGGAAAACAGCAGTGACAATAAACAAAGTACTACCTGAAAAACATCCAAACACCTTGAGCTCTCTAACCTCCTTTTTATCTTATAGACTTTTTAAAATGTACATAAAGAATTTAAGAAAGAATATATTTGTCAAATAAAATCATGATCTTATTGTTAAATCAATGAAATATTTTCCTTAAATATGTGATTTCCGACTATTCCTTTTTAAGATCATTTGTGTTTATTCTTCATAAGGACTTTGTTTTAGAAAGTTGTTTATAGCTTTGGACCTTTTTAGTGTTAATCGATGACACATTACTTATTACACTGGGTACCTTTACCAGAATCTCAAATTTAAAACACACACACTCATATACGCAAACACACAGACACACACACACAGACACACAAACACACACGCACATATACAGCATGAATGAAGACATATCTGTCAGAACATTGGTATCCTTTTTTGTGCCATTTTGTTTTGTTTAATTAGTAATGTTTTTACTATTATTTGCTAATTGGCAGGTAGTCAAGCAAATGCAAGTTGCCAAGAGCTCTGATATTTTTTAAAAAGAAATTTTTTTGTAAAAATCAGACAACAAACTATCTTTTCAATGAAAATAAGCAATAATGATCCATAAATACTATAAGGCACTTTTAACAGATTGTTTATAGAATGATTTTACTAAACAGAATTTAATTAAAATTAACTCAAATTGTAGGCTTATGACTATATTTAACAAAAATGAGGCGATTCATCAAAGACTGATGAAGACAAGTCTCTGAAAGCAAAAACTATCCAGTGTTATCTAAAATTTTATCTGAGCACATCATTTTTTTTTTCAGTATCCTGACATTAGGAATTTTAAGGGATAGTTAATGTAAATTTTATACCCTTATTCTGTTTAATGCAGTCCAAATACAAAGGAAAGAATTAAGTTTTATATTAGAAACTCTGAAGCATGCTAAAAGGGGCAGTTCACAATTTTCACCTTTCAAAAACAAATTGCTGCACAGAATATCACTCTTGCAGTTCTGAAAAATAGTCTTTTATTTGTGAACGCTGAGTGAGACGCTTGTTAAATGAAAAAGGATGTTTTACCATCTAAGGGAGAGGTAGAGGAACTGGCTTTTCTTTTCTTAAGCTTTATTTATTAAACCATATTATTTGATTACTGTGTAAACTTTCATAAGCAATAATTAAATGTGTCTTTATAGATATTTCAGGAATGTATACATATTGTGAGTAATGCTTTCAAAAGTTTTGAAAATCATGAACTACCCCAGAATTGAACTGTTGTACTTCCAAAGAGAATTGGGCTGTTTATAATGATTTTAATAGAAAAAGATCCCAGGGATCGGTCATAATTGGTCTTGTTTGATAATGTGGGCATCCACAAACAAACAAATAACAGAAGCAAAATCTGTAAATGTTTCTTTGTAAAACTTGTAAATTTTATTTATACTGTCTTGTTTTGTACACACATTTCTCTGTAGTGAGCTCTGGATACATTAAAAATGCACTATATTTTTCTATTTTACTTGCAGAGCATCACAAAAGAACAGGTATTTTCAGTGCTACATAATGTGTTTTCCCACATTTAGGACCAAAGATGGCTATAGAAAAACTCAAATGGATTGCTTCCCAAAACCTTCCCTATCCTTTTATTTTCTTTTAGCTCACTGTACAGTGTTATTTGATATTTTAATTTATTTTTTGATTGACTAGAAAAATCATTTTAATTTCACTAAAATGTTTTTGTCCCTGAGGAAAAATAATCTGTAAAGTAATTTTAATTAGCATAATAAGTCACCTAGACACTTCCATTTGTAATCTTTGTAATAGACTGTAAATATATTTTTGGAACTATAACACAATGTGCTTGAGGGTTATTTTTCAGTGTCTGCAGTGTATACAAGTGTTTATACTAAGTACAGCACTTTACAATTCTAATCAGTAGCATTGGCCTTTGTGAGAATGAGTGAAAGAGTTTGAGTGAGTGTTCTTAATTCCTTTTGGATTCTAGACTCACTAATACTGAAGTTCTTTTCTTGTTCATAGCTTAAGGTGCTTATTTTTTCTATTAAAATTAAATTAACAAAAAGCCATTCTAGAAATAGAAGACATAGTATGGTACATGCAAACGGTGTCTTTCCTGCTTTTTTCTAGCTCTAGATTTATAGTTGAGTAGTCTTTCTTGAGTAGAAGGGCAGAATAAAAGTTTTTTTTGAGTTTTTTTTCAAAAATAACTTTTTTCTTCAGCAATATACCTCATCTGCCTTAAATTTTTTACAGCTCTTTACAGGGAAAGGGGAGAAGGGATGGGAAAGACACACAGCACAATAGGAAGTGTATGAGTACATCACTCTTGTTTGTAGGTTTCTTTTCCCAATTAACATTATGATTTTGAGATACATGTATGTGAAACAGATATTCAGAGTTAAAGAATTAACATTGTAATGCTGATTGTAAGACTCTCTTCCAGAAAGAGACGGAATGGTAAAACAATAAGAATGTAAAACTTGCACCTTGAAATACTTTCTTTTGATAAATTAGTGCTCAGGGGAGGAAAGGTAGAGAAAGCAAATGTCAAACTGAGAATTCAAAAAAAATTTTAAAAATGCAAAAGGAAATGGCCTCCTTGCTTTAACAGAGCCACCTTTTTTAGAACACTGTCTTCACACTTGACTTGTGTTTTGCATTCAGTACTGAAATAAAAGTACTTTTTTATTACATCTGAATCTAACATTTTCTCGGCAATGGACCTGGCCTCGTTTACTAGAACTGGTGGTTTATGCTTGTCAGAGCACTATTAGTTGAATCATATTGTATACTTATGTAATCTACATTAGCTAGTACTATTTAGGACTATATTTTAATTGCTCCTCTTATCCGTGTTTTTAAGACAATTAAAATGGTGTGATTCACCTCTCTTTTTAATTTAGGTAATGCTGATAATCTCCCTTTTGTTTCCTGGGTAGCCTAGAACTGTGCTACTCTCTGATGTGCATGTTCAAATAAATTACTGATGTGTATTTTTTTGCTATATGTGGCGGAATCATGGGGAACTCGGGGCGAGATGTGCTTTTTGTTGGTTGAATTTGTCCCTCCTTGCCTAAGAATTAATACAGGGGTCATCCTTTTATAAGGACAAACTGCTTTTGAACAGTGTCTTCAATGTATCAAGCACAAATATCTCTTTCTTCAACACGAATCATAAGTCTCTTTTTACCAGCTTAAAATAATAAACGAGTCTATTAGACAATGTAAAGAAAACCCTGTCTCCAGTCATTGGTGGATTCTTTATGTCCCTTATTCACGCTTCATTTTCTGACACAATATCATGACCGAAGTTCTTTGGAATAAAGATTATATTGAAATGTTTTGTTGGATTAGTCAAAATACGAAAAAAAAAATGCCTTGCTTCACCTCATCCTATTACACACTGACTTAATTCCACTATATTACAAGGTAATAACTATGTCTTCAAAGAGCTATCCTATCAAACATTATAAAATCGTTTTCAACTCATTTTAACCCACGTGGTGCCAACAAGAATATTTCATGAGAAAGGAAATATGTTTTCAGTGAACAGTGTGAAATATTTTAAACGTTTGATTTAATATGGCTTCTTAGAAAGGTTTTTGCATTTTATATGCTGTTGAACACTATCATGTAATTCAAAGAAAATGAGAAGTGTGAAAATCTGGTTTTCCTAACTGGGTTTTTCATCATACTGACTCTTGATCAGACCAGTTGTACCTGAACAGAAGAAAACTATGCACTACCTATTCTGTAGCATGCCAACACTAAGGTCTACAAACTTGACAAAAAACTAAATGTTTCAAACAATGAAATTTGCTATTGCTAGAATAGGTGCTATCTCTGGTTACCACATAGTGATGCTGAATCTCAGGCAAGCCTGAACTGAGATTCAAACACAATTTTGAAATGTTGGCTTTTCCCCAAACATCCCTAATGAAAATGCATAAAAAATATGGAGGCCTAAGATATAGGGCACAGATGGGAATAGGGAAAGCAACATATCCTCTGATGCTGAGGGACAGTCAAATGAGCTGAAAAGATACTAGATGTATTAAGGGGTCCCAAAACACTATCCTCCCAATGCACTTTCACCAAAATAGTAGACAACAATGTTATATCAATAATTAGTTTTTAAATATATATGATCACCACCAGTAACTATTTTTAGTTAAAATACTTTTATCCTCGTTTTTAGCTATTGTGCTATATTGTTAGCTGCAAAGAAAATTCAGTTTTAAAAAAAGGCTGAAAGACAACATAAAAGGTGATAATATTCCTAAATACTAAAAATTAGAAGTATTGGCACAAGTGATAAAAAACAAGTAAACTTTCGGTTTGCTCTGAAGGAAAGTGTCCTCTTGGCTTTGTGTCAAAGTCCCTTCAATGGCTCCATGCCAGCTGCTCTCTTCTCTGTCAAATACATTTCGGCATAGCTTTAAGAATACAAACAGGAGAATAAAATATTTCAATGGCAATGCTTCTGTTAGGCTCATTAGAGTGAAGTGCAGTAGAAGGATTTTTTCAAGTTCAGTGATTGAATGTAATTAAATCTATAATTAAACAATAAAAGACCTCTCCTGATTGACCTAGAGGTTAAAATAAATATAATTAATTGATCTAATTTAATTGGACCTATTGAATAAAGTTTGGTAAATAAGAATAAATAGCTCTAATCTAGTATTGTGTGGGCATGCAAGGGAAATAGTTTTGTAGGCATGTAACTGTAGTGGAGATTTTTTAAATTCCAAGTATTGACTGATTTGCAGACAGTGTCAGTGAGATGTTATATTTTGGTTGCAACCTATAATATATATATATTGTATTATCTCAAATATTTTACCAGGTTTTACCATGAAGATAATCATTGTTTCCCTTTTGATATCCATGATCCTTCATTGAATATATATATATATATATACATATATATGTCAACTTTTTATATAACTTGAGAGTGATCAGTATATTTTATTAGTGGTTGTTCATGAATTTTTACAACACCAAGAAGAAGAAACAGATACATTTATTTTAAGCAAATTTGGTTCCAGTTTGGTGAGAGATATGCAAGTCTTATCTCAAGTCTCACCATTCCACTAGATACATCACGGATCACGGATCACTGTTCTCCCGTTGTTCATCGATTTGCTCGAGTGGGCCCAGTAACGTCTCCATCATGAGACTTGTTGTTATTGTGTTTGGCATATCAAATATGTCACCAATAGTTTGCCAGACTCTGCCGTGCAGGCGAGATACTCTCGGTAGCTTGCCGGGCTCTCCAAGCGGGGAGTAGGAATTGAACTCGTGTCAGCCATGTTGGCCGCTTGTAAGGCAAATGCCCTACCG